ACCTAATAACAAAGATTCAAAATACATAAAGCAAAAATTGACTAAATTAAAGGGAAAAATGGAAAAACCTACAATGAGAGTTGGAGAGAAAGAGCGTGAAAGAGAGAAATACAGAGTCAAAGAGACAGACACACAAAGGGAAAGAGAGAAAGAGAAACAGCTACAGAAACACAGAGAGCCAAAGCAAGGGAGATGGCAGCAGCTTGATCCTAAGAGAAACAGTAAGTCCCAGAGACAGGGAGCTACTGAGAGGAGATGGAGCAACCATGGACCAGACAGGGAGGGTCAGGGGCTCTGGTCAAAGGGGATGGAGCCAGAGCAGGAGTCTGGGCCGGTGGGATCCTGCTGGGACAGCATCACTTACCCGCTGCCCTGCAGAGCCTTGGGGGCCGGGTTCTCCACGCAGTCCCTATGTAGGAAGGAGAGGAGTGGTGTCAGCTATTCAGGACTTTGACCTGGCACCCCTCAGGACTTCCCAGAATCACCCAACACAGGGCTGCCTGGGTACTCACTCTCTCTCCCTTCTCTCCTGGGTGGCCAGAGAGTCCTTTGGGTCCAATGGGGCCTGGAGGTCCCTGTGCAACAGGACAGGGCTTTAGCTTTGTGTTGGGTAAGATGAAGCATGCAGGGGCTTGAGGGCAGAGATATTGGGAAGGAAGCCCCAGCCTGGCCCGGGCCTCTGGGTTCTTCACCATATAACCAAAACCTGGTACACAGTGGGCAGTTCATGCAGCTCAGTGTTAAGACCCTGGAGTCAGATAAGTCAGATAGCCCCACTTCAACCCACACATGTTGCCATGTGCTGGCTGCAGCCCCAAGGCAAGAATCTCTACTTTTCTTGGCCTTAGATGATAATAATACTTGCATCTGTTTATGTGAACTGATTGAAAAGATTATGGAAAGTTATTTATACATTAAATATTCATAAAATACTTAATAGAATGAACGAATAAAAAATGAATGAATGAAAGGATGAATAAATGGATACAGGAACATATGGGTAGGATCACTTGGAGAACAACTCACCATGTGTCCAGGACTCCCAGGGATACCTGCAGGTCCAGGAGGTCCAGGAGGACCTGGAATAAGACAGAATGTCCTCAGGGCTGGAACAGAGTACAGTGTGAGGAAGTCCCCCATCAGCTTCCTCCTGAGAGCCACAGCCCTCCCTCTGCCATCTACCAACTCTACCCCCATCCCAGGCCTGGCATCAACTTACCCATGGGGCCTGGGGGTCCTGGGGGCCCCGTGGGTCCCTGGGGCCAGTGGCTTCTGGTCTCAGTGAAGGTGTTGGACAGTAATGGGTCCCCTGGGTGTGGAAAGACGGTGAGTGAGTAAAGCTGGGCATCATGGTCAGTCAGCCTTATTCTACCTCCCCTGCTAAGGTAGCTCTGACTGACCTACAGGGCAGCTTGAGGCAACTGGGCATATGTTCCCAGGGTAGGAAGTGGGGACAGTGTTGGCCATGCGAGACCAGGAGGTAAGGAAACCTGGGTTCCAACCCCACTGCAGTCTAGCTGGTGATACCCAGCAAGACTCTCCACTTTGCTGAGCCTGCATTGTTGCCTGTCAGATGGGAATGATAACAAAAGCTACCATTTACTGACCACCTATATGTGCATGGGTGTCATCACAGTGCTCTGGGAGGCTGGCACTGTTACAATCCCTTCTGCACAGATGAGGAGCTTGGAGAAGGGGAATGAATACTGAGATGGAACAAATGGTGGGATGGGAGAATGAATGAATGGTATGAGGCATGCATCAAGGACAGGATGGAGATGAGGATGAACCTGGTGCTCCATGCTCTGCCCCAAGTGCTGGTTAGGCTGGGCTGCCAAACGGAAGAGGCCAAGGACACAAGTCAAGACCCAGCCTAAAGGAGGGCCCCTGAACCCTCTGAGTAGAGGGCAGGCCTATAGCCTTGGGAGCTCAGGGCTCTGTTCCTGCTGCTGGGCCTTGGGCTTCCCACTGCTCTGAGGGCTGGATTCTGGCCAGCTCCAAGCTTGTGGAAGGCCCGATGCCAGGTGGCTCTGGACCACAGGCTTTAGAGTCTGTCTGGGTTTGAAGCCATTCCCCCCTGCCTTGGAGGTAGGACCCTGGCAAGTGACCTCCCCCTCTCTGGCCTATCTCCCCCTATCTGTGAACACAGGAGAACAACCTCACCTATAGGAAGGCTGGCTGATATGTGGCCTACTAGGGGCAAGCCTGCCACACAGAAGGCACCTGGCAGATGGTAACAGGCACTGTGGGGATGGTTACTCCATCTTCACCCCACCCCCCATCTCGATCTGCCAGGACACCAGGGAACTCACCATGCTGAGAGATCTGGGTATGGGTTGGCCCCATGGGGGCTGGGGGGCCAGGGGGCCCAGGAGGCCCTGGTGGGCCTGGAGGTCCCCTCTCTCCAGGGGTACCCCTGGCTCCAGCCTGGCCAGGGCTCCCTGGAGGGCCCTGTGGACCTGCAATGGAATCACAGGGGTTCCTATGGTAGTCTTGAAGAGGCAGGACAAGGCAGCAGGCATCAGTGGGCTCTACAGTCTGCAGGTGAGCACAGCACCCGTCTTCTATCCCATCCAGCTGGGTCTGGGCTTCCTTCTATGGGGCGGCCATACCTTCAAAATCCCCCATAGGAACCCTGGTCATCTGGGGTGCATACTGTCATTACCCCTCTGCTGAGCCCCTCCAACTAATCTGGGTGCTCAGGAGAGCAGGGACATGTTTGATCCTACCCTAGTGCCCAACTCAGAGTCTGCTGAGTGCAGGTACTCAGGGAACATGGGCTGAGTAAATCCAAAAGAGGGTTTCAGGGAGCTCCAGTGTGAGAAGGACACTCCCTGGAGGGGTGTGGAAGGCAAGTGGGTATAGTGGCCCAGGCCTGGGTCTGCCCAGTGAGGGGAAAATGGCCAGGGGAGCTGGAGGGGGGCAGTATATGGGCACTCACCTGGTGGGCCTCTCATCCCCACTGGGCCCCGGCTGCCGGTGTCTCCCTTGGGGCCAGTTGGCCCAGGCAGCCCCTGAGCACTGACTTGGTCTGGTGGGCAAAGTACAGCAGGTCAGCAACTCCAGACTTGCTCCTGACCCCCACCCTGGCCTGGCCCTGCAGCCAGCACCTACCATCTCGAGAAAGCAGTGGGATCCTCATACTCTCTCTGGCTCCTGGCAGTCCTGGGGTTGTAGGGGTAGCAGGGGTCAGTGTCCCCACTGGGTTGGGGCCAGAGTTATCCAGAGCGCCCACCTGCAGCTCCACTCTGCTGCCTGACCTGCTTGGCTTCCCAGGACCCAGCATGCAGGAGTCCCTGCAGACCCTCCTCTCAAGCCCATGGGACAGATGGGAAACTGAGGCCTACTGGGGGTTGAGCTGGGAGTCAGTAGCACAGTGGGAACCAGAATCTCACCTCCCAGTCCCCATATCCCAGTGCAGTGCTCATTCCCACGTACAAATGTGCTCCCCACCTGACTCACTCACCTTGGAGGCCTTGATCTCCAGGGCTGCCCCGGGCGGCTGGGGAGCCCCAGAGCAGGGCAGGGTCCTCAGGGGTCGCTGGGGTTGAGGACATTGCCTGCTCCATGACAGTCAGTATGGCTACCTTGGAGGAAAAGGAAGATAGGCATGGGATGGTACCTTGGTCTCTCACCAGGGACAGGCCAGTCAAGGGAGGCCCTGGTGTGGGAGGCAGGAGGCCCAGAGCCAGCAGATCCCAGCTTGGAGTAGGTGCCAGGGCTTACAGAGGCCCAGAACATTACCAGAAGTGACTGTGCTTCTAAAAGTGCACAATTCATAATGCTCATCGTAGAAAAGTCCTTACACATCATCACCACCTCGCAAGTTGAGCTCTGTGATTGTCACGTTGGGCCATGCAGTTTTTTTACCATGCTTATCTATATAAATAATATGATGCTTCTCTCAGAAGGTTAAAGAACCACAGGGTTATGGCTGGGAGATTTTCACTAAATTTGGAGAGAAGTTTGAGAGACTCTGACATGAAATAAAGGCCCAGAGGTATACACAAAATCCATTTCTGGGCCCAAGGTAAGGAAGGTTCTAGAAAGTTGGTGGTATTCCCTCGGCCAGGGTTGGGGGGTCATGTCAGCCAAGGTAAAACTCTCAGGTAGACCCAGGGCTGAGCTGCCTCTCAGATGGGCTTCTCCTGGCAGGGAACCCAGGGAATGCGGGTTCTAGCACATGCTGTTTGGAAGCTTGGCCACATCAAAGTCACCTCTTCATGTTAGAAAATGGAGGTATTTTAAAGGGCTGCCTAGTAATCCACAGAGCAGATTCCCCATAATTATGCAACCACCCCTTCTACTGCCTGGTTTTCAAATTTCTCTACGAATAATTAACAGTGGTAAACATTTCTGCATCTGATCATCTCCTTAAGATAAAGTCCCAGAGGGGGGAATGATGGAGCAAAGGAGATACACACTTTACATGTGTCTATGTTTAGAAAACTGGAAGAAAGATGTCTAAATGTTGACAGTGGCTCTCTTTGGGGGTGCTGCCTGTGAGCAATTGTAATGAGTGGTTTTTCTGGTTGTTTTTTCACATTTCTGAGTTTTTCATGTTTCTAAATTCAGAAAGTCTCTCTTTCTTTTTTTTTTTTTTCAGACAGGGTCTTGCTCTGTTGCCCAGGCTGGAGTGCAGCGACATTATCATAGCTCACTGTAACTTCAAACTCCCAGGCTCAAGCCATTCTCTTGCCTCAGCCTCCCAAGTAGGTGTGACTACAGGCACTCACCACCATGTCTAGCTAATTTTTAATTTTTTTGTAGAGACTGGGGTCTCACTATGTTGCACAGGCTGGTCTTAAACCCCTGGCCTCAAGTGATTTTCCTACTTCAGTCTCTCAAACTACTGGGACTAGAGGTATAAGCCACAATGTCTAGCCTACATATACAGTCTTAACTGTGAGTAGGTGCTAGTATCACCTTCACTTTACAGATAGGGAAACTGAGGGGCATTGGAGCAGAGGCCAGGGTGTGCCTGACAGAGGGTGTGCCTGCTGAGTCAGCTGGGGCTGCACTATAGGATTGCTGAGGGGGCAGACACCAGGTATGTGGTATAAGAAAACAGGTAGGAAGGCCCTCACCTAGCCTGGGCAGGGGGCAGGGGGGAACTGCTCACCTACCTTGGCCTCCAGCACCTTCAGCCGCTCAGTCAGCTCTGACACTTTGCTGCAGTTGAGACAACCTGCAGGAGTGGGGAGAGAGGTTGGGGCTGCAGCCAGGTTCCCCCTCAGAGCCCTTTGGCTCCTGGGCGAAGGATGGACGAAGGGGACAGTCACCTGATGACTCCAACCCATGAGGGAACCCAGGGTGGGGAAGGAGCTTCAGAATCACTGCAGGTCCAGGATGAACCAGACCTTGCAGGATTCCTTTGATGCCAGAGCCCCCAGAGTGGACACATTTCTCTCGAGCAGGAGTAGGGCCCTGACTACTGGCAGCCTCTGTGTCAAAAATGACCCTTTCCCAGAAGGCAGGCCAAGGCTTTGCCGGCTTTGGTGACCAACACAACATGGTCTGGACTGGGCTGGCCTCAGAGGTACCATCCTGTGATCCTTCCTAACTACAGTCCTGCTGTCCCAGCTCCTCAGCTGGGAGACCTGTGAGTCATTCATAACAGCCCTGGGTATTTATGGCCAGGGCTAAACCTGCTGGTCCCTCCAGCCCTCACTGGCACCTGATGGGGGTGTCACCCCCATTCACACCTGAGGACACCCAGCTCAGGGCAGGGGTGAGTAGGTGCCTAAGAAGCACCACCCTGAGATAGTCCCAGTGCTGCCCCCTCCTGGCCATAGGGCCTTGGGCAGGACAGGCCACTTCTCTGACCCCCCACTTTTCTTCTCTTTAAACATAGACAGTTAAAAATAAATAAAATGCAGACAGTGAGGCCTGGCTAGTGGTGAGGTATGAATCTCTGTGAAGTTTTAAAGAGCTGATGACATGCCTGGCACACTTTAGACACTCAGAAAAACTTTGAATAATTTAGGAAATGGGGAACCTGTGTCTTCAGGAGTCCAGTAGCCATCAGTTTGGGGGTGCCTAGGCCCATGCTAGGTTCCCCTCTGGGCCCTTTCTCTGGCCCTGGAAGCTCTGTCTAGCCTGGGGATGTGGTAAAGGTGGGATACTCTCCTTGACCCTTCACTGTTAGACCCAGATGGCTTTCAGGACAGTTACCACACTGCCCTGGGCCCCTGCAGGCCTCTTCCAGAATAGGGGAGCCCCCAAAGCCACCCCAGGACCTACCTGAGAAGGCCGTGGGGCGAACTGCCATCCTTCGCATGGTGTTGCCTGGCCACCCAGGCTCCACGAGACTAGAAGAGGCTCCAACTGAGGGATGGAGAGGATGAGAGCCTCATCAGGCCAACCTGCCACCATGGTAGCCCTAGCAGGGACCCCTCCTCCCCTCAGTGCAGAGAGAGAAGAGGCCCAGAGAGGTACAGCAATTTACCTGGGTCACACAGCATGAACTGGGCTGAGCTGGGGGAAGGCTGGCCACTGAATGGGGCTGGTGAGAGGAGCCGGTGATGAGGTAGAGGCTGTGGATGAAGCTGGAGGCTTCTCCAGTGACCCTAGCCAATTGCCTGGCTTCAGAGTTTACAGAGCTCACAGACACTGACCTGTGTGACTTGTCCTCTCTGAACCTATTTTCCCATCTGGGAAATGGGATAGTAAAGTCTCCATACCTCCCGGGCTGGCAGGGGCCCTGAGGACGGCCTTGTGTGCAAAGAACCCACTGTGCACTCCCAGGGCCTGGCACAGGCAGTGCTCAACACAGGACAGCTGTGACCACTGCTGTCCATGCTCTCCCTGTCTCGTCTAGTAGGAAGAGACTGAAGTGGATCCAGCCCTGATTTTAAATGAAAACCAGAGGGAGGCTGGCTTTCTGAGAGGGTAGGGGAGCCTATTTCAGGAGCCCACCCCTGTATGAGGACCAGCTGCCCTGGCTGGACGGGCTCTGGGGGTCTGGTTTTCTCTACAGCTGGAGGGATGGGCTGGCCAAGCCAGGGGCAGGAGCACAGCTGGAGGGCCTGAGAAGCCACCCCCAGGGCTTCCCTTTTAAGGCCTCAGAGTATCATCTGGGGGGAGAAAAGACCCAAATAAGGCACAGGCCTGGCAGCTCAGAGCTGGGCTGTGGGTTGATGCGGGGAGCAACAGGCGCCAGGAACTCAAACCAGACAGGCTCCTCTGGCCAGCCCCCAGTGGGAGGCTGCCAGGCCCTCCTCCGGGTCCCCCTATGGGGCCTTCCCTCATGCTAAGCCTGCATCCCCAAAGGGCTGTGACTTGTCCAGGCTGGGGGGTAAACCTCACCCAGGATGGAGGAAGATGGGCTGCCAGTCCAGGACTGGGACAGGCCCTGTGGCTCTCAGAGCAGGGGCTGTCACAGTGAACTAGGCTTACACTGAATGCTTCACATAGCCTTGCTCAATCCTACCAAGTTGATAAAAATAACAACAGCTAACTCTCGTTTAGCATTTACTAATAGCAGAATGGGCCTGGCGCATTGTAAGCAATTTACATATGTAGTCTTTTTTGTTTGTTTTTTGAGACAGAGTTGTTTTTTTTTTTTTTGAGACAGAGTTTTAATGTCACCCTTAGTAGAGTGCCGTGGCATCACAGATCACAGCAACCTCAAACTCCTGGGCTTAAGCGATTCAATTCTCTCGCCTCAGCCTCCCAAGTAACTGAACTATAGGCACCCGCCATAACACTCAGCTATTTTTGGTTGTAGTTGTCATTGTTGTTTGGCAAGTTCAAACCTAGCCTGGGCTAGGTTTGAACCTGCCAGCTCCGGTGTATGTGGCTGGTGCCCTAGCCTCTGAGCTACAGGCGCTGAGCCCACATATATAGTCTTAACCATAAGTGGGTGTCAGTTCACCTCCACTTACAGACAGAGAACTGAGGCCTGGGGTAGCTCACTGTCCCCATGCTCAGAAAATTGGATCAATGTGTAAGACTCATCCCCACTTTTCCCCTTGGAAGAAAGCACGGCAGAGAAGTACAGTGACACGGTTGTCTCCAGGAAGATCTCAAGCTGGATCTGAACCAAATCTGACCAAGTCTGACTGCAGGGCTAGATGGCTTTTGGGGGGGGGGCACCTAGCAGGGAGGCCCAATGTCCTGTAGGAGTACTGGTGCCTGAGAAGAATGGTCTCACTAAGGCCTCTTCATCCTCTTTGTTCCCATGTAGCGATGTAATATGTCATTTTATTACTTTTTTCAGGAAGTTGACCAAAGAAATGGTGTCCCTCCAACTCTATGGAAGTTTGGGGTTTTGCTGTCAAGAAGCTTAACTTCTGTGGATGAATGCATGAATCATGAGCTGAAAATAAATCTCAAGCAAACGAAAGAAAAGGCAGATACAAATTGTCTTGAAGATCAGCAAAATGTTCTAAAGTCACACGAGGGTGTCCCTGAGTTACTAACTTGTAAACGGGTGACTAGAAATTCTTTTTCAGCTTATGTTTTAGACATTTGTCAGGAGCCAGAAAGAATTAGAAAAACTAAAGAGAAACAGCCTGACCATCAGCACAGACTCATGAATTTACAATAAGGGGGGGGGGGGAGCTTAAAGAAATAATGAAACTGTCAACAAGACCAGAAAATGTTGGCTTTGGGTTCTGGATTCACAAAACTTATCCCCAAACTCTCCTAAATTCTGAAAAATGGATAGAAATACTTAAGGGATGTCTCAGGTTGTAAAAATGGCACACAAAATTTCAGTAAGGAAGAAGCAATGGGTTGGGGGAGGTCTCCTGTTGGACAAAAATGTCACATCCCTCCCACTGGTGTTTTGCCAAGGGCCTTCCAATAGGCCTTGGTGGGCAAAGACACATACTCCTGCCCTGGTGGTCCCTCCTGAAGGGCTCTTCCTGGGACCACAAACCCCAGCTCCACTCTGGGAGCCTGACTGTGAGCCACTTCCCACCATCTGGGAGGTCCTCACGCACCCTACACACACACACACACACACACACACATCTCCACCCGGCACCTTCCCCAATCCTTACAGCTACTGGGCCCATGTCACCTCCTCTAGGAAGCCTTCCCAGACAGACCAGGGCACACACCAGTGCCAAAGCCCCTGTTGAAGCTCTCGTTACCCTGTCTTGACCTTCACAGACCAGCACTATCTGGAGTTTCTTCCCTCTTCTCATTGTTGGCCCTGAGCTAAGAGACTCCGTGCTCCTCATGTTCTCCGTGCTCCTCATGCCCACACAGTAGGATGATGAAGCCAAGATTCCAACACTGCCCTAAACTGAGAAAGGCTGGGGAATGTCCCTGGCCTTGACCTCTGTGACTTTCTCCCCCAGGAGAGGAGGTGAGAGAGGGGCTTCATGACTGACCCACTCGCTCCATCAGTAACCACATGCCATAAGGATGCAGCCTCCCCCACCCCAACCCAGGTCTCCTGCAAGGAATTTACTTTGTGAATGTAAGTATTCACTGCTAGTGGCCAGAGCCAGGGGTCAGGGTCGGAGCTGAGGCCTAGAGCTATAAGAACCTGACCAAGAGGCCTGAGATAGTTTTATCTTTGTCCAGCCTGGTCCCTTCTTCAGTGTGGGCAAAGCACCCATTTAATTCCCATGCATCTACTATATACCAGGCTCATGCCAGGCACTGGGGGTAGTGGGAATATGACAGCAGGGTGGAGTCACCTTAGCCACATGGGAACACCAAGAAGGTGACAGGCAGACAGGACAGCCACTGCCGAGGGCATGGGTGGGAGAGGAGGCTGGGGGTGGGGTCAGCTGGGGGGAGGGCAGGGGTGGGCAGGGATACCAAGGGGCCAGCTGCCCATGCTGGGTGTGCAGGATGGGCTGGGGGGAGGTAGGGGCTGCCAGGGCTCCTTGAGAGGAGTGTTAGTAGACAGTATTGGACATGGGCAGATTTGTGCAGTGTTTAGCCCTCAGGACACTGCATCTGCCAAGTAAAGCGTGCGTGTGGGAAGTGCCCAGCCCTGGGTGGTGGGAGAGGCCAAGGGGCACAGGAGGAGCCCAGGCTGGTGCCTCAAGTATCTTCCCAGGCTACTTTGTGGTATGACCCTGGGTAAAGTCCCTTCTTTGGTCCCCTATCATGGAGGACAAGGGCTGTAAGGGACCACATACAGGAAAGGGATTCCCAGCCTCTCTACCCTTCTATCTGGGAAAGGCCAGGCCTGAGACTAGATCACCAGCCTCATGGCATCTGGCATGTCTAAACACACTCCCTTGGGAGTCCTCAGACCCCTGATTCCATGGTCAGATTAACTGGGTTTGAATTTGGCTCCTCAGTTCATAAGCTGCCACCCTGGACAAGGTATTTCCCTCAAAAGGCCTGATTTCTGCTTTCAGATGCCCTGTGCCATGACACACTGGCATGATGTAGGTAGACATGCATTGCCATGCCCAGCGCGCGGATGGTGGCAGCTTTCCTTACCCTTGTCATTATTACTGCAGGAGGGTCTGGGGTAGGGGGATGCCACAGATCTTAGGCCAGTGCTTATCTGCTGTGTGACCTTGTGTGACACTTACATCCTCTCTGAGCCTCCCTTTCATCATTTGGACAATGGAGCTGATGAGCAAGAGACCTGACTACAGGGACCCCTCATACACACTCCCTGAGTTAAGGTAACACAGTGGTGGCTACTGTGGCCCCTGCTCTTAGCAGGATCCACCAGCTCAGGGCACTCAGAGAGTCAGGCCCAGACCCAGAAAAGGTGATTGTTGGGCTCTGTCCAGCCTCCTGACATGGCCTTGACATTGTGCCTGCCTTCTGCCCACCCCCACCTGGCCTATGTGGTGCATTCTGGCCTTGGCCCTTCCTTACCCATTGTTTCTCCAGGGCTTGATTGTTTCTGATGAGAGGGCACCAGGTGAAGGCCTTAGCCAGCCTCACCCTCCATGGCCTGGGGGCATGGAAGCCCAGTCAGGTAAGTCCCAACACTGGTGCTGAGTGACCCCAGGCCAGTCCCTTCCCTTCACCTCTCTGAGCCTTAGTTTCCCCACCTGTAAAATGGGGCATGTTCTAGCCCCTTCCTCACAGGTTGTCATGAACATCAGATGAGACCATCCTTACTCATCATTAAGAACAAACATCCCCATTCTGCAGATGAGAAAACCGAGCCTAAGAGCAGGGAAGTCCTTCACAAGGGTCTACCAGTCTCATAGACATCAAGTCTGTAGACTCAAGGCCAGTTTGTTGAGCAGCTGACTGAGAAGTGGGATCTCAGAGATGGCAGGCAGGGCTGTGTCTGCTGCGTCACCACCAAATCACCAGCACAGGGGACAGGAGGGAAGAGGAAGACGTTTATGGAGCATAAGTGTCCAGTTCTCAATCACTGGTGACTTCTAGGTAAAGCCAAGGTTCAGAGAGGTGAAGTGACTTGCCCCAAGTCACACAGCAGAGTGCAACTGATCCCAGTCTGGATTATGGAATTCGGCTCACCCTGGGGTCGTCCCACCCTTGGTGACACAGCTCTAGGCCCCAGGGTCAGGTAACAGCAATGGGCAGACCACAAGGGCAGTCACCAGCAAGCGGAAGCAGTTGGAGGAGCCTGGCCTGAACCTGGCTGTGGGAGAAAGGGCAGGGCCTGGGATTGGCCAGAACTGTCCACACATCTCTCTGCCCACTCCCATGTTCCCAGCAGAGAGGCTTTTCGGAATACTCAGCCATCCACTCACCCACTTCCCTTTCCTCAGCTCCAACCCTGTGGCTGGGGAGAGGCCCTTCCTGTTCTCTTGGTCACTACGTACTTTCTACCATCGGCTGCCAAGCCATATGTGAGGGCTATGCTGCTTCATTTCATCCTGGCAACGTCCGTGGGGGCAGAGTCTATTTCCCTGCCCGTTTCACAGGTGAGGATGCTGAGGCTTCCACAAATGCACATGGCAGCTTCGGGCCCTTTAGTGAAGGCACCCTACCCTCCCTCTGAGTGGGCAGAAGATGAATGTGCCTGGATTACAGCTCCCCACCACCAGCTCTGTGACTTTGCACAACAACTGGCACAATGGATGGGGAGTTCCCAGCCAAAGGCCATACAGGTAGAGGTCCCCAAGCAGGGACCTAAAGGCCCCACAGAAGGAGCTGACAGACATCAAATTTGGCCTGGCCCCAGTACCTATCTTGTACCCTTGCCTTGTGGCCCCCAGTGGCCAGACTCAAGGGCATAGGTCCTGCCTCCACCTGTCTTCTGCCCTTAGCTGCTCCACGGGGACAGTCTGCCCTTGGGAGGGGAGCCAGGGACAAAGAAGTCTTTGTCTGGACAGGCCCTGACTAGGGGATCTGCTCCTCCCCACCTGCTTGGTAGTTGCCCCTCCTGGTTCCCTGGGGGACCCACCACCCCATGTCAAAACCCATCAGACCCCCACGCCTGTGTGATTCTGGGCTCTCGATCCGTTTCTGTGGGCCTTAGTTGCCCCACCTGTGAACAGGACTGTTGTGGGGTCCCAGGGAAGTGAAGCACGTAGATGTCTCAGGAAATGTCTACATTTCTGTTCGCACCATCTTCCTTTGACTCAGAGGCTATGTTTTCACACATTTGTGTTTCTGGAATCAGGACACATCTTGTGACTGATATTCACATTCATGTGCTGCTTTGGGGACCCTCTTTCTACTGAGGCACCTATGGGCTTGGCTCTCAAGTTGATTCTAGGCCAGTCCATCATCTTTAGGGCCATGCTTGGGATCACAGCTCTTGGTGCTCCCAAATCTGCCACCTGCTGGGTTCAACTAGGCAGGAGGGTGGGAGGGGCTCCAACTGCTTGGCACAGAGTCAGGTGTCCTGAGAGGGCTCTGCAGGTGAGAGTGTGGTTGGGCTCCAAGGCAGCCCTGGCTGCCTCTTTTGCCCCTGCCAAGTACTGGGCTCTCAAGCACCCTGTGCTGCACACAATGAAGGTATGTGGGGTGACAGGAGTCCCTCTGTTGGGGATGTGTCCCACATGTGGGGGCACAGCAGAACCCTTCCATTCCTGAGGCCCAGAGGCAGGGGGCAGAGAGAGGCACTAGGCAGACAGGGCTCAAGTCCTGACTCTGCCACGTAGGAGCTGTGTGCCTACCACCTTCTTGAGCTACAGTCTTCTCAGGCAGAGTGGGTATAACCATTCTTACCTCCCTGACCCTGAACTGATTCAGATGGCTCTTTGTTGCCATGTGGCATCTGTTCCATATTGTATGGAAATGTCTGGATGGGTTTTGCTCAAATTGGAGGAAAGACTTGGGATGGTGTGACTCAATATTTGAGCTACGCCACCCATACAAAATTCTCCAAGGGTCCTGAGGGTCTCCCAAGAGTCCCTGTGGGGTTAGGAGGACAGAGGCACCAACTGCTTCTGAGCCAGGTCCTGTGGCATGGGCTCCAGTGGGCACTGTTCTGTGCATGTGCAGCCTCTAGGGACATGGTAAGTCCTCCCATGTACCTGTGGGGAGGCACCTGGCCTGACATCACAGGGCTCTGCGAACTGGATGGGCTGTCCTACCTTCTTCGCAGCTCACCCCCGAGTGCCCAGGGCAGCACCTCCATTCACGGGCAGTCACTGTCTTGTACATCACCTTGTATGTGGGTCTCATCACCGTCCTGTAGCTGAAAGAGTTCCCAGATGACCGGGCTTAGATAAGGTCTTCTATGGCCTCTCCCCCTGGCCAGACACTCATGGGGGACAAACACAGAGCCTCCAGGATCCTTGGCCACCTCCAGATCCCTTTAGAGTCTCTCTCCTCTTGCATTCTGGGTTTTAGCACTCTCCCCACGCCCTGGTCCCCAGCCTGGGTATTTGATACCAGCTGGACAGGACTCCTTTGCAGGCGGGGCTGGGGTCCCCGCTGAGTGAAGGCATGCACAATGGTTCACCCCTCCTCCAGAAAGCCCCCTAGGGTGCTCCAAGATCACAGAGGGTTGGTTTGAGAATGGGTCCAGGGCCAAAGTTGCCTTTGCTCCAACTACCCTGGGGTCCAGCTATCACCTGCACTCCCTGGGCAATCCTACCCCGAGTGCTGTCAGCTCCTTCTCTGTCACAGCATCCCTTACCTGCTCCCCGGGCAGCTCATGGGCCAGGGGCAGTTCTGCAGCACTCGCTGAAGGTAGGTGCCATTCTGTACATGGCATGAGACAGTGCGGGTCACCACGTATGAGCACCAATTCCTGAAACAGACCCAAAGAGAGAGAGCTCAGTGCCATGCAGAACCCCCTGGCAGGACTCTGGGAAGATGAGCAAGGAGGTATCTGTTTTCTCTGAGAGCTCCAAGAGCCCAGGTAGAGAGACCCCTGAGCTCACAGAGTCCTTTGGGCCCTGGTGGGAATTTCTGTGGCTGGGGGGTAAATTTCATGGTCCTGGGTATGGGGTACTTGGGAGGTGTGGAGGCAAGATGGGGGCAGGGCACTTCACGGGGCTCTCCCTCCTCAACATCTCTTCTCTCCAACCTGATCCATCCAGGCCATCATCACTTCTTGACTCCCACCTGGATAACTGCAGTGATCTCTTCTGCCTCTGTGTCTCTCCGTAGAAGGGTGTCACAGAATGGAAAACTGGCCATACCCTGCGCTTGCCCACCCTGACTCTCCAGTCCTCAGATCTGTGCCCACACCTGCCATGGATCCCTTACCTCCAGGACTCTGCTCCTGCTGGGCTCACAGCCTGGACGCCCTTCCTATACTTTCCCAGGTGGCATCTTCTCCCACCTTCAGAGCCCTCTTCCCTCCATCCTGTCCCATTTCCACCCCTACTTGAACACAGATGATGCTTCCCAGCCCTGGGTCCCCTGGCACTTTGAACACCGTCACACTGAATGAAGCTGATGATTCATGTCAGCCCCCTCCACCAGCATGTGAGAGAGGCCCTATGTCACCCTCATGTTCCCTCTGTGTGATGGTCACAATGTGCAATCAGTGACCCAAGTCTGGAGGACCAATTCCTCCAAACGCTGACAATCATATTGCACTGCACATAGTGAGCACTTACTGTATGCTAAGGATACGCCACTCTGCAATGGTGAGCCAGTAAGCACCCCCTCCCCATTTCATAGAGAAGAAACTGAGGCTCAGGGAGGTGAAGACAACTGCTCAAATGTTACACAGCTAGACCTGGAGAAACCAGAATTGAACCTAGGAATGTGGATGGCCCAGCCCAGCTTCAGACCCTATCCCGGAGGCCTCAGCTCCTGTCCCCTCGCCATCTCCTTAAGCTAGGGCTCTACGAAGGCCCCAGCCTGAGAGCCTGCTGACCCTGGGCTCAAGGCCACAAAGGAAAGTATGGTTGGGTAGAGAGCTCAGGCTGAGAAGGGTCATCTGAAACCATCCTTCCTTCCCTAGTTCCTACAAAAAAAAAAACAAAAAACACACAATATCCATGACCCCATGCAGGACTGAGCACCACTGAGCACCTGGAATGTCCCAGCCAGCACAGAGGTGTCCCCCCACCCACTGCCTGCCACCTCTGCCCACCCAGGCACCCCCTCAGCTGTTGCCTCACCTTCCCTCCCCAGGCCACCAGTCAGCCAGGACCAGTCAACTAACTCAATTTATTGTCTTGGGGATTAACTCCCTTCACTCCTCTGTGTGGGAGTAGGGGGAGGAAGCAGCCTAATCAAAGACCTAGACGTGGGAAAGCTGGAAGGAGGGACAGTTCCGTCTGCCTATGAAGCGGCAGGAGCTCATCAGAGCCCTAGTCAGCCATCCCACACGGAGGGGACAGGTGCTTGCTGGGGCACCATCAGGAATAGCACAAAACTGGGAAGAGTCTAAATGGCCAACCACCAGACAGAAAATGAGAAGCTGTGATGAAGCCCAAGGTCTCTGCATGTTGGGCCTGAGTGCCTGTCAAACCTGGCTAAGGGGAAAAGAACAGGCACAGATCAATAGATACAGGATGACTGTATTTCTATTAAAATGAGAGAGAGAGAGAGTCCACTATTTATACATGCATATATACATGCATGTGTGCAGGTGTGTATAAAGTTATATAAAAAAAATTATATTCTCTTCTCAAATTGCCACTGTGGGCAGCACAGTTAGGGTTGGAACTCAGGTCTGTCCCTTCCCAGAACTTGCACGGGAAATGTTCCTCCTGACAGCTACATGAGGCTTTTATAAGTTTAAAAAGATACATATCAAGGCTCCCCATCTAGGTCTCTAGAGCTGTGATTCTGAGCAGGTTAGAGTTTTATATGGAATGGGAACATAACACCCCTTGGGAAACTGAGGTGAACTGTAGTCTCTCTTCAGAAAAATGGACAAAACCTGGTGTACAAGTTAAGGCAGTTCAGAGGCTCCCTGCAGCCTATGTGACACTCCCTAGCCTGGCATAGGGGCTCTATGAGTAAAGAAGGGACAAAGGGAGGAACATAGGGAGAGGAAAGTCAGATGCTCTGGATACAGGAAGAAATAGCAATTTTTACGCTCTGGGCATAGAAATAACACTCTATACCAGTGTGCAAATACACACAAACGTGCACACTCAATGCATGCACATGCAAACTCAGCACATGCAAATGCACACACAGGCACACAGGGGCAAACCTGGACACACATGTGCACATGGGCATACAATGCATGGATCCACACTGCCCATGTGTACACGCACAGATCTACATAGGCACGCAGACACACACACACACACTCATGCACACAGACAGGCCAACTCAAACCCAGTAGAACACTTAGGCACAGAAATGACCATTCTCCCTGCACATGAGTTCACACTCTTCACATGCGTGCACACACATGCACACTCACACTATACTCCTCACCTCTCTCACATGGCACAGGCAGGCCCAAGGAGGCCCCTTAGGGACAATCACAGTTGGACCTCCTCCCTGCAAATGTGTCCACACTTGCATATATACCCACATGCCAACACATGCACACTCACACATGCCCCCTCGCATGGACACAAGTAGGCTGCAGTTGTGATTTCTGGGCATATCCACACCAGGATGCACAGGTCTGTGTGTCCTCACTCATGTACACGCTGCACACACACAACTCTCTTACATATACACAAATAGGCAGAGCAGGCCCAGGAGAGCACTGCTGATGACCTTCCTCTCACGTCTACACAGGCTCCCACAGGGCCATCTGTGTGCTCTCACACATACACACACACTCTATCTCCAGCCCCAAGATGGGGCAGGGGGAGGTGGGCCTGTGACTATCCACAATTGCCTGAGCAGTCCTTTTTACCAGGGGAGCTAGAGAAAAACAATATATATTTTTTCTTTCTTAATTAAAATCTCCCTCATGTGGGCTCCTGCCTGGTTCCCTGATTTATCTCTCACAATCTGGACTTTGCTCAAATCCCCTGCTTGGGAGACATGGAGCTGGTGACTAGCTAGCCAGACTTTTAGATAGGAAAGGACACTCAGTCCAAGTTGTTTCAAAGTCAGCTCCTCACCGTGTCTATCTGGGGTCACCAATAACCATGTCCATTCTCTGCCTTGAAGACCCCATCCCTGGGGCACCCAACATAAGCCTGTGCCCCCCTGTTGGGTCCCAGCCTTGCTCTGCTTCCCCCTGGCCCTCCATACACTTTCCAGAGGCAGCTGAAGGCTTCTAAAGCATAGACCTAATGATGCCACTGCCCACCATGGACTCCATAGCCTACCATAGCTCCCCATCAGCCGGTAAGCCCTCTGACCACGTCCATCATTCCTCATGTTGCTTGCCTCCCTTGTGCACCCATGCAGCTCCTCTCCCACCTCTGATCTTAGCATGCAAGGAGCCCTCTACCTGGACAGTGCCTCCTCCTTGCTTTAGAAAACTCCTATTCATCTCTTAGATCTCAGCCTCCAGGCCCAGATGGGGTTGGGCCTCTCCTGGGGGGCATCTGTCAGCCATTCACAGTAGCCCTGAGCTTTATTCTCTCCTGCAGGTGCTAAGGGAGGTCATGGGTCTGGGACTATGCTCCAGGATGTTTGCTGAATGACTAAGTGAGAATGGACAGAGGCCTTGGGCAGAGGAGCCAGCAGGTTCCAAGAGACAGGCACTATCCCTACTGCCCTGAGACTTCCCTCCCTCGGGTGTGGACACTGATTAGCTGCTCAAGAGCTAGGTGAGTCTGGCAGTGCAGCAGGTGAGAGGAGGGGCTGATGGTGGCAGCACTTCCCTCTTGCGCCAGGCACTTCTGCCCCTTCAGCAGAAGTAGGCCCCTGGGAGAGGAGAAAACAGGCCAGACCAGCTCAGCCTGGCACCAGCCACCCTCACTAGGGCCCCCCTTCACCTACACCCACACTCTACCTCATGCCACAAGGGGCCCAGGGGACTTTGTCTCTAGAGGGCCCAGGGCTGCGATCCGGAACAGTGATAGGGGCTAATTGCAGGAGGCAGCCAAGCAGGCCCCCAGCCAAGGCTATTATGAAAAGGAGAGGAGAGAAAAGAGCTGTGTGGATGGGGGTGGGGTGACGAGAGCCAGAACCCCACACTGGGGGCGAAGTTCCAGTCCTAGCTCTGCTCCTAAATCAGTGACATTGGATGAGGCCCTGATCCTCTCTGACCTCACTTTGTCTATCTGCAAATGGGGATGGCAGTATCTCCTCTGGTAGGGGAGGCTTCATACAAAGCACTTAGCACAATGAGGACAGCTACTGTTAATTCTTGTTCCTAGACAGTGGGGTGACAGCCCAGTCATGGGTCCCACACCCAACAGCTGTGGCCCAGGGGCTTCCCAGAGGTGTCCCTGGGATACCAGCACAGTATCTTCTTCACAAAGTCCTCCCCTTGACTATGGGAGAAGATTGCCGGGCTCTGCATTTTAGAGAGGGGGAAACTAAAGCTTTAAGAAAAAGCACCTGCCAAGGATGCATAGAGCTGAGATCTGAATCCCCTGGCTAGGGGCTGCAGGAGATACCATCCATTTTAGAGCTCTCCACTCTCCCTGATCTGGGATTTCCCCAAAGGAAGCTGGTGTTACAGGGCAGTGAGAGGCCTGGGCCAGGACACTGATGATGGCTTGAACCCCAGAGCTGCCATACTGAGATGAGCAATTAAGTGTCTTCAGGCTGGGCAGGATGTTGGTGGGGCAGGAAACAGCCCCAGCAGGGCACGAGGGGCTGGCAGGGGCAAGGGCAAGCCAAGACAGCTCTGTATGGCCCCTGGCTACCCTGGGGTCCCAAAGTCTCACCACATTCCTAGGGCTGGGGGTGGCCCTTTGGATGGCTTCCCAGGCCACCCCCTCCCCGGGACAAAGCCTCTTTTCTGCCTCTGCTCCCTCAGCTGCCAAGGGGTACTTGGGGCCCTGAGCTGGGGGTGGAGGGAGGGCTGACAGGGCATGACATCCCCATACTGTCTCCAATGACACTGGGGCGGGGCCACAAGTGAAGGTCCTGGCAGCTGAGGACTAGACTCCTCCAGCCCGAGGTTCCTACCCCACTTAATGTTGGTGAAAACAGGAACCACTGTCCGTGAGGGCCCATGCTGGTCCTTTCCAGGGTGGACTGTCCAGTCTTAAAATAGACCTCAAGCAGGGGATGAGCAAAAGAAAGAGGGGAACAGAGAAGACGGAGCAAAACTGAGACTTGTGGCCAGGAAGCAACGTGCCTGAGATCACACACCGAGTGGGTGACAGAGCCAGGAATAAAACCTCATCTGTCTGAGGCCAGAGCTCCTAACTCCTAACCATGGCCTACAAACATTTCCCAGACCCCCAAGCTGACAATCTCTCTCTGCTGGGAGGAGGGCTGCTGGGGAAAGACACTGGACTTGGAAACTGACTGGCCTTGATTAAGGGGGTTACTTTTTCCCTCTAGGCCTTGTCTCCTTATCTGTAAAATGGGAACAATAGTATTGTGCATAGGACTTTTGTGACACTCAGGTTATTGAGACAGCCAGCTGTTACCAGATGGGGTAACAGTACCCATCTGCCAATAGCCACCATCCTATTCCCACTCAGGAAACCATGGGAGGATGAGAAGCCCAGGCTGGGGGCGCCTGCGTTGGTCTGGCTGGAAGGGATTCCTGCTCTTAAGCTCTCTTGACCATCATCTTGAGCCTGACACTGGAAATCCTGAGTTCAAAGTCTCTGTCATCTTAGCATCTAGGATCCTGGGGCTCATATGCATGCTCTAGGCAGCTCACATCCCCTATCTGAGGCTCAGCTTCCTCCTCTATGAAACAAAGATCATAAAAAGCTGGCTTGGTGCCCGTAGCACAGTGGTTACAGTGCCAGCCACATACACTAAAGTTGGTGGGTTTGAATCCGGCCCAGGCCAGCTAACCAACAGTGACAACTGCAACAAAAAATAGCTGGGCGTTTTGGTGGGCACCTGTAGTCCCAGCTGCTAGGGAGGCTGAGGCAAGAGAATTGCTTGAGCCCAAGAGTTTGAGGTTGCTGTGAGCTGTG